GCAACTGTCGAAGAAGAAACTCTACCCCAGTTTATAGAAGGGAAATGGTGAAGCCGTTAATGAAGTTATTACCACTGATATGACTGTAACCGATAATAGGACATTTCCTTATGGTGCAGATGAACCCCACGTGAAGCAGAAGCCAACAAGACGGAGAGCAGTACGGAAGAAGATACGTCCAGTAAAATTAAGAGATTTTGTTGAATTTTAATTTTGTGTTTGTAAATTCTGTATATTTAATTTTGTGTTTGTAAATTCCGTATATTTAATTAAATTATTATTAATTATCTATTGGTTTAATGTAAGTGGCTATTGTTCGGGACGAACAATACTAAGGAAGGGGCAGTGTTACGACAGCGGAAGTCTCGTGACGCTGGTAACACGTCGGGAGTTTCAAGAAGGATCATGAATTTTCTTGGCAATTCTAGTCTTTTCCAGGCGCCTTCTTTCTTCGTATAGAAGCCAGGCAAATAAAGTGGAGATATAATTGCAGATATAGAGATAGATAATTGAGTCAAGCGAGCAGTAGGCACTGTAAGTAAAGTGCGTGACTCGTTGTGAATTATAGCGTGTGTTTATAATATTAGTTAACTTTAAAGTGACTGTAAAAATCTTTGATTTGCAAAGTTGTATAGAGAAAGAATAAACTAGTTTTAGTTTTAAAAAAGGACTTGTATCGCTGAAGTTACTCGGGAAGAATTTATAACGCAAATTAACAAACGACCAGAGACGTAACAGTACTATTATATTTATATAGATTCTAAAAAGACTGATACATACAAGTAATCGAGCTTCTTTCCAGAGCTCAAAGAAATGTCTGCTATGTATCTAAATGAACTTATGTATGTTTGAAATAAAATTACTCTCTTCTCAGACTGTTATAGTATTTACGAACAAAAACTATCAAAACATGTCGTGTTCCAGCAGATTCGACAGCTACTGTAATAAGTTCCGGTTGTGTTTGAGATTCTTCTCATAGGTATACCGATGCAAAGTGCTACTATTTAATCAAATAAATATTCAGAGCAGATGCTCTTTTAGGTCTCTTTGTCAATTTTCACTTCCAAGAAAATTATGTCGTATAATAAAAAAATTGAGTATTATGAAATACTTTAAGTATAAATATTTGTCTGAAATATCATGGGATTTGAAGTTGCAATAATAAAACATTAAAGTTTAATACTCACTAGATGGCGGGTACACGATGTGTTTGGCGCGATTTCCATAACATTAATAGGGGAATTTAAAAGATGTTAAGATTTAGAAATTGTTTTATAAATATTCATATTAATGGAGATAAAAATTGTGTATGATTTATAAATAGAATATACTATAGTTTAAGTATGGGAATTCAAGGTCTGCTCCCATTTTTGAGGAAAGCTTCTAGAGAGGTTAATGTTAATGTCTTTGCCGGAGTTACTGCTGGAGTGGATGCTTATTGCTGGCTTCATAAAGGAGCATTTTCGTGTGCTGAAAAACTAGTCAAGGGAGAAAAAACTGATGGGTAAATCTGAAGTGATGGTCCTAGAGATATTTTGAAATATATCTAATCATGTAATTTTTTTAAAGTATGCTAGCCATGTTTTGATATATATGTATTCACATGTTTTATACTGGAATTGTCATTTAAAGTTAAGAAATTGTAGTTCTATTTCTCTTCTGTATTTCTGCTGATCGGAGATGGAAAATTGTTGTGCCGATAAGTAATACTAATTCTCGTAGTAGTAGCAGGCCTGGCTCCAGCTCCTCTCCCTCCAGTAGAGATTTTGTTGACTACTTTTTATGATTTGTAAACCTCCAGGGAGAACAAATCATATGCACCCCTAGAGTTAGTCCTGATTTGCACTGCTACTCTTGATTTGAGTGTTTCCTGATAAATTATGCTAAATGGTTGTGTTTCAGAGAAAGTTAACACAAAAATATTAATGAAAATTCACAGTTAAGGATATTTAGTTCAATAAGAATACAACTTCATAAAAAAGACAGTTGCAAAAAACATTTGACTTATCCAGATCAACCTTTGTCTTAAACTTTAAGGAATATATATGTACATTATTGATCCATTTTGAAAAAGTTTAAAGAATACAAACTATCTGATGATTATCATCAGACAAACCACCCGACAAATCTATAAGAACATATCTGCATCTAGGTTTTCAAAGTTTCATCCTTTTACACTTAATCAGTTAATGTTTGTATTTCCAAGTTTTCATTCCACCACCCAAGTAAGTCATGCTCATAAGAAGAACATCAGGCATTTAACAATTTTGAATATCTGAATGATGACCAATCCTAATTATTCTGCATTCTAGAGAAAGCATGTCCAAAATTCTGAGCTTATCTCATTGGCTTCGATATATTAACCCCTATGTGCACGTTTTCTAGTATATCAATAACCTTTTTGTAATAAAGGGACCAAAACTGCACCCAGTATTCTAAATTAGGCCTCAGTAGGATGTTATTAAAAGTACTGCAAAAACTAATTAATTTTGTGTAGGTTTAAAATGATTGATATGTTTTAGTGGACATCTTGAAGTGCTATACTACTATTCTCATTTCTACTGTCATTTAATTGAAATGTCCTACAGCACAAGTGTTGTGTAATTATTGTATATTTAATCTTCAGAATTTTTTTTACCTATTTTAGGTATGTTTTGTACTGCATGAAGATGGTGAATTTGCTGCTTGGAGCTGGTATAAAGCCAGTATTGGTTTTTGATGGACGACATCTTCCATCTAAAAAAGTTACAGAACAAAAGAGGAGAGAGTAGGGAAACATTTGTACTTAATATTAGGAATAATTATATTTAATTAATCAAGCATGTACTATCTAGACAACAAATAATACTTGCAATAATCTAGAACTAGATATATAAGATGCTGTACATAACAGTAAATTAGCTATTATTTTTCGAAGTCAAAGCCAAAAATGATAATATTTGTTCAATGAAAAAGTAAAATATATATATATATATACCTTAGGCCTCAAGTTTTTACTCAAGTCATTAATTCACATTTGGATTAATTGGTTTGTTAATTTTATCACTATATATCTGTCTTATCCCAGCCAGCCTAATGATCAGTGGTATTAGACAAAAAGCCTTATCAGTACTGGCTACAGCAGATATGGTGTAGTTCACATATTATAATATGTTCTTAACTTTCACTATAATGTTCTTAGAAAGATCATTATCTAAGTGCTTGACACAGACAAGATCTTTTGATTTATATTGAATTTATCTTGGTAACATTGTTAAATTACCCAGTACTTTTCATTATTTTTTAAATGTAAGAAAATATTTCTCTTCCTAGTGCATTAGAAATTTGAATAATCCTGTAAATCAATTCTTATCATTATTGTCTTTCTTTCCTGCTTTAAGTTTTAGCAGTTTTCTCTCAGAGCAGTAGGCAAATCTTAATAAAAGAACTGCATAATAGAGTGTATATGTGGACGTGTTTGCCAAAATATTTACGATGTTCATACTTTAGCAAAAGTTTGGTGACTTACATTCTGTGGTGTCAATGCATATTATACGTTAATTTTTTTTTCCTGTACAGAATTTTACATTGAACAATGTAACTCAATAAATTGTATACATAGAAGTGTAGGAAAAAATGGTTAAATGTATGGTAATTTTCCAGGAACCGAGAAAAGAGCAGAAAAAAAGCAAAAGAATATCTTCGAGAAGGAAAATTAAAAGAAGCAAGGGAGTGTTTTCAGAGAAGTGTTGATGTCACCTCAGAAATGGCTCATGAATTGATTAAGGTTGGTCTGTGTGTATCAGATTATGAAATGGTGAAATGTGTGGGTCTTTCATTTTATGGTTAATAACCCGATGATTTGATATTTATAAAAGCTTTTAATTGTTCATGAGTTCGTAAAATCCATTAATTACTTGAGGCTTTAGATTAGGTCAAGTGGTTTAATGATATGAATCTATACTTAATGAATTACTGATTGATTGATTGACTAAAAGCAGCTACAATTTAGGATCTAAGATATATTTTAAATTTACTTTGCCTTTGATGTACATTATTTTAGTTAAAGCTGCAACTTCACCATTCAAACTCTGGACCTTGTTTGTCAAAATGAAAAGGGAAGAGTAACCACAATACCACAGAAATTTCCCATCTTTCACAGTTACATAATATACAAAGTTCTTTTTTGATGAGTGATTTATAACTAACATTATACATTGTTAATGTTCACTCTCACTGTAAACTGACAGCTAAAAGTGCTTAATGTTAATTTCCAGCTCAACAAATAATTCTACTTGACTGTTTTGATTTGTAAAAAGTATGACTGAGTGTGAAAAAGGCAAAGATTAATTGTATAGACAGTATGTAAAATATGTGTATTTCATTTAGTGTGTTGGGGTTGTATGTGATTTTCTTGAGAGAAAAAAAAGATATAGGTTGCTTGCAAGAATCATGTCAACTACAGATTGTTTAATTAACACAAGGATCTATAGAAACGTAAACTACAAGGTTGATACATTTAAGGTACTAGGAATACAAGAGATTTCTACTGCAAGAACTATCAACTACAGATTGTTTAACTAGCACAAGGAGCTACAGAAATTTGGATTACAAGGTTGATATGTTTAGAGTACTAGAAATACAAGGGATTTCTATGGTTCAATAACACTTTCTTTACAGGCGTGTCGACAGAAAGGTGTAGATTGTATCGTAGCTCCATATGAAGCTGATGCACAGTTGGCCTACCTCAATAAAATTGGAATTGTACAAATAGTTATTACAGAAGATTCAGACTTGATATTATTTGGATGTGAAAAGGTAGGTTTACTGAAGCATTCTTGTGTCCCAAACAGTAACTGTAAAATAATATTGCATAAATTTATGCTGTCTTTAGTTTTAACTGTGAACAGTGCATGCCTTTCTGTTATGTTCAGTTTTTAATGTGAACAGTTCTGTTTTTCTATAATTTCTTAAAAGTCTGAATGCTGGAGTACCCATCCCCCTTATATATATATATATATATATAGTTATATAAATTCAAGATTAATGAAAGGTTATCTTAGGACAGGGAAAGTTGTTTCCATTATATGTAATTAGTAAAAAATGTCCCATAAAAACTGCAAAATACAAAATGTGAAACTGCAAATGTAGCTCTGCATGGACCCAACAAACCTTCATACCAAATTTGGTGAAGATCCACCAATAGGGGGCTAGCTATTTACCAGTAACTTAAATATTCTATTTTAGTTTATGAAAAGGTTACTTGTAACTGTTCAACATGCCTAACTTGTCCGGCCACTACGGATTTTCAACATTTGCTTCAAGATATACCACTGTGTAAAATGAATAATATAATCTATCTATTAACTTGTGGTATGTGTGGTCCTGAACATATAGGACAAACAACTAATCCTTTTTATTAAAGGATTAACCTACATAGATTTCAAAGTAAGAAGGATTTTTTCTCATTCCATTAAAACAGACCATTTGGATGAACATTTACTTGCTAATGTTGAAATTACTATTTTAGAAACAGTATATGATATCAATTTATTAATGGAATGAGAAGAATACTTTATTTTAAAAGAAAAAAATCTTTAATCTTAAACCAGGATTTTTAAAACAAAAGTACTGAATCTTTAAGTAAAAAATTCTACTTTAAACAGAAGAAAAAGAGGATAAATGTAAAAATGGATTAATTTTGTGAAAAAAGTTAGATTCTGTTTTTGAACAATATGTTAATATTCTAAAATTTGTAATAAAAACAAATATTTGAATTAAATGATACAAAACTTAAATATTTGTCAAAATATATTGTT